TTTGGTATGGTTACAGAGTAATGACAAGGCTAAGGAATATGTGCACATGCTGAACTCTACACTGACGGCAACTGAGAGGACAATGTGCTGCATCTTGGAGAACAACCAGAAAGAGGATGGAGTTGAGATACCTGAGGCCCTAAGAAGCTTCATGGGTGGCAAAGCTTTCATCCCTTTCAAAAACAACAATTCTGGAAAGGAAGCAAAAGGGAAAAAGATTTAAGGAGCAACACACGGTTTGTTTTATCGTCGGTTAAGGTACATTTGTTTCCCAATTTTTCGCGGCATGCCTAAGGATATGCACCTTTTTGTTGAGTTACTGGTCATGCCTTAGTTTATGTGATATTTTGAAGCAATGTACTGTTTGATATAGATATAAAGACATTGAGTAGTATGCATTCCACAGAGATTAAATGAGAATTTTGTTGGCCTCTTGTGTTGACATTGTCTGGAATTTGTGGGAACATGAAAATTTATGCGAGCACATGCGTTGTGAGATTGACTTTCAGTCTTTGTTCATTTGGTACTCTATAGGGTTTGGACTTATCAGTGTCGCCGTTCAATCAGTCAAGTGTACCGTTGGATGTAGGCATGTAGCGAAGCGTAACGAATTGCAAAAGAACCAGAGAAATCTCTCATTATTTATTTATTTATTTTTTTACCAAAAGTGATTATTTAAAAATGATTGGATTTTTTTGGAATAACTTGTATTCAAGCATCATGTTTGGTTATAAATCTACTCAATAAAATTCAAACATTTTTAACTCAACCAATTTTTTAACTCAACTTTAAGTCAATCTCACTATCTATCAATATTATCAATCTATACTTATATAATATGATTTAACATTTATCAAATTTAGTAGGTGATTACTTGGTCAAAGTCCACTTTGCATTAACTCATTTCCAAAAAAGGCAACTTCTATGTCTTTTTTACACGGCCATTTAATTCAACATTTATGTCCTTTTCACATTGCACACTCCTTTTAACAACAGTCCTTATCCCATCATTTTATTTTGGTTCCCAAAAAAAAATCTGTATAATAAGGAGTCTTTAGCCTCAAAATCCGTTTAATATGGATAATATATTTGATATATCCTATCAACATTTAAAACATGTGATAAATTACAATTTGTTGGCAAATTTTGATTTCAAAAGTCCACACGCAATAATTATTAACTAATTAATTATACAGCATTATTTATCAAGAAATTATCCCAATTCACACGCCTCTTAACAGAGTCCTTTTCGCAATAGTTTTCTTGGAAACCATCTAATAAGGAGAGGATATTTGGTTATTTTTAATAAGGATAAGATATTTGATATATCCAATCAACAGTTAAAACGTGTGATAAATTACAATTTGTTGGCAGATTTTGATTTCAAAAGTCCACACGCAACAATTATTAGTAACTCTTTAATTATACAACATTATTTATCATGAAATCATCCCCATTTACACGCCTCTTAACAGAGTCCTTTTGGCAATATTTTTCTTGCCAACCATCTAATAAGGAGAGGATATTTGGTTATTGATAAATTAAAGAAACAAAATTTCGTAATACAAGGAGTTGATATTGGGGATAATCTTCCGCTTCAAAATCGTATAATAAGGATAAGATATTTGATACCTACATTCAACATTCAAAACGTGTGATAATTACAAATTCTTGGCCGATTTTGATTTCAAAAGTCCACACGGAAAAAAGATTCCTAAAGATTTTCTTCCAATTAAAAGGAATCCCATAACAAGAAAACTTTCATTAACAACAGATACATATATATATATATTCTCATTACCACCATCACGTATTGAACATATTACAATCGCATATTTTAGAACAAAAAAAACACTCTCCGATGGATCAAGCATTTGGGTTAATAGAAGAAATTAACAGGAGCAAAAGACCAATGCTTAAAGTCCGCATTGTCAGGATGTTTTATCAAGATAAGGGGAGCACATTCAAGTCGCATCTCGAGCTTATTTTGCATGATAGAGCGGTACGGATTTCTAATCGATTTCATATTTCTCTGTTTGTTATTTACATATTATATAGATTACTTTTAAATTTCCCATTTCAATTTATTGGTGAAGGGAAAACGCATTACAGCATTTCTGAGAGCAGTCTACTTACCGGGTTTCAAAGAGAAGTCCATTGAAGAGGGCATGGTCATTCTGATACGAAATTACCAAGTTGATAGCAACCTTGGTATGTATAGATCTACGGATGGCGAGTTTAAGATAATCCTACATTGGGGCACTATATTTATGAAATGCAAAGACACTTTGTCTTTTCCTATGTTCCGATTTTCATTCAGAGACTTTGCAACTATGCAAGACGTCAACAAAATAGTTTTACGTTATACTTTTGGGAATATTATTTTACGTATTTGATTTACAAATTACTTATAAATTTATAAATAAATATAGATTAACAACCATTTTATTTTTTTCATAGACGTCATTGGATTAGTTATTGACATCTAAAGTGTACAAGACAAGCAGGTCAAATCTGGTGATACACAAATGGTGGCCTTTATCCTCATGGACTTAAAGTAACTTTACACAACTAAAATTAATTATATTATATAAAATTGAAATGTATAGATATTTTTGAACTCGCTCTTATTAAATGCATTGTTTTTTAAATGTCATGAAAATTTCATAAACTGCACAGTATGGGGCGACTATGTTGACAAACTGTTGGCTTTTGAGAGCCACTATGAACATACTGGAGTACCATGGGTTCTCATCATGCAGCAAGCACGTGAAAAAGAATACCTTAGTAAGTATCTTCAATAATGTTTTTATTTTCACTTTCAATACCTACGAGCCCCCATCTAACATCTTATATTGCTTTTGTAGAAAAAGTACAAGTTACTACTTCTTTAAACGTGACTAAACTAATTGCACACGATTCGGTGGAGGAGATCCATGACTTTTGGAGAAGGTTAAATTGAATTACACCTTTATCAATTTTTTTAATTTTATTACTTTATTTATATCATATAAATGTTAAAAATACATTTTCATTCGTAGGTACACAGCAAGCAATTTGAATAGGATAAAATACAATTCCAACTCGAAAACTATTATTAAGACTGAATTGGAGGAATTGCAATCTGGTGATATTCCAGTTTCTTCGGTGGAATCTTTGTTCAAAAATAAAGAGGTATATATATATATATATATATATATATATATATATATATATATATATATATATNGTTTTTTTTTTTTTTTTCTAACTATTATCTCCTTAATAGATACAAGATGAATTTGAGCATATCGGATTCAACAGCTAATGCAGATATTGTCTGTTGGGACAAAGAGTTTGAGATCCTCATTGGAAAAACATGTCATTCCTTAAGAACCGAATTCATGCGCAAGGTGGTTGTTATATACTTACTATTTCTGTAACATATTTATATGTCGCTTTTAACTAAATGTTTCATATTATTTTTTTTTTCTAGAATGCTGCAACTTATAAGTTGCCTGAAGAAATAAAGAGATAGACTGGACAGGCTATTCTGTTTAAAGTTCGAATTCAGCAGCAACGCTACTCGGACACTATTTCATTTACCGTTTGTAGGGTAGTCAATGACAAAGATGTTGTTTCCAAGTACAACCAGCTCATAGTTGCACCAGAGGTTATATATCTACTTTCAATGTTTTTTAAGATAATCTGAAAATGGTTCTAACATTTTTATTTTCAATATTATAGGTGTCAAACTTTTTGACCATGCTTCGAGGAGATGATAGCAGCTATTATGTTGTAAAGAATCTAATCCTTTTTTTTTACATTGTAATTTCGAAATTATAAAAGTAATACTTATTAATATTTATTATTTATGTTTGTTTTATTTAATAACAATAATTAAAAATATTATATATGATGAGATTGATGAATAAGACGAGGTTTCTACTCCTCTCAAAGTTGCAAGTGAAATTGAAAAGATGGGTGATTCATCGGCAAAGCGCAACTTGAGCGATTTATTCGAATCCGAAGATCCGAAGATGTTAATGTCTACGACGCATGATAAAGGAAAGGCAAAGGTCTATGAAGACAGTACTCTTATGCAAGCAGAAAATGCTCAAGATTCATCTGAGTGAACAGACTCTGAAATTATTTAATTACTATATTATTTGGTGATTTATTAGAAAGCTTTCAGTTTATTAGTTTACTTTACTTACGACAGCGAGTATGTAACACCCCGGTCATCAGAGTAAATTTTTCGCAACTTTTACTTCGAAAATACTTATAACTCTTTCGAAATCTTTTGCGACTAACTCGAAATGCTACTCAAACTCATCATTTCTGGAAATCCGTTTATCTTTAAACTTTGTCTAATACTTCTTTAGACATAAACAAAACAGATTTAATTAAACTTGCATTGAACTATATCATATTCATACTTCTGAAATGATAAAAACTTGAAATCTGAAATTTATTAGAATGCAAGTTCAAGTCTCAATATGCGTAGCGGCAATACTTAAAAACGTGAATAATTATACAGACATATCAAGTTCATAATAAATGTCCACTTAAAGAAGTGCACGACCACCACCACCACTTCTTGAGCTCACACCTCCAGCCCGACCCTGTTACCTGAAAAACACAATGGGGGTGAGTACTGATCCTCTTGTACCCCGAAATCACCCATACTAAAGTAAACAGCAATAATAATATAATATCATGATCTTTGGTATATATCTTGACTGGAAATCTGTTCCAGTAACTTAAACTGAATTTGGCCGATATCTAATTGGATACTTGTGCACAATCTGATGGATATTTCTCAAGGCAACTCAAACGGCCTCCATCAGAACTTAGGATATACTCTGAGACAACTGAATGCCTCCTCATCCCAAGCGTATAAACTTAAACTGTATACATACCTCGAACATGATATCTATATTATACTCAATGTAATACCCAGTCTGGGTCCCCACCTTTCTTCTTTTGAAACTTTGAAAAGCGTAAGTGTTGTTCTTTGGTAGCTAACTCCTCAAGCTACATAACAATATAAACAAATATACTAAGTATTATGCTCGTATACTCAATAATATGCTGGGATTCTTAACTCTACCAGATAACTTATCCGAATCTTAAAGATATTCATTAAACATGCTATTGCTCAAATGAATACTAAATCATTGAAAAACCAAACTTTTCTTAAACTTTTACTCAAGGTCAAATACTTAACCCATATAGATCATATCTTTCAAAATCTTAGATATTGGCTTATACTCGCATGTCATTTAAATAACTCGGATGTGAAAATAAACTAAATTTCACATTAGACTTAATTGAATACATGAACTCAAAACATGCTCAACTTTTACCAATATCATATACATGACTTATACGTATTTTTAATCTATCAAACTTGTCTTAAACTTGCTTGATATTAAAATCTCAAACTTGATGCTTATTCAATACAAGTTTTTATCATAACAATAAATTATGATATTGATATACTAGACTTGAAACAATTTTATAAAATCACATACTCAACATATTGAGCTGAAACTTGGTCAAATTGCTCATCACTCATATAAAAATTTTTCCTAAAAATTCCATTTTAAAAACTCAACCATGTACTGAATACTCTTGCATATAAAATCATCTTGACATGTATGCCATATAAATATTTT